TCCTGGGCTTCGGTCTCCCCCTCCAGGCGACAGGCGACTCTACAGCCTGCTCCGCTAGGGCCTGCTTCCTCCTCCTGAGAAGGAAGCGCTACCTAGAATCCAGTCCCTACCGCACGCACGCACGCTTGTCCCAGCCTCGACCTAACCTGGCCCAGCCCTCCCCACCCGGGGGGACCGCTGTTCTACTTTCCGGGTTTTTTGCTTGTTTGTTTCGTTTGTTTGTGTTTTGAGACAAGGCCTTTCCACTTGGCCCTGGCTGTCCAGGAAGTCACTCTGTAGATCAGGCTGGCCTTGGAGTCTCAGCCTCTTCCTCCTGGAGTGCTGGGATTAAAGGCCTGCGCCACCACCTGGTGTCCAGTTTCTTTCTGGGTTTTGAGTGATCCTGAGGAGAGAAACCTTGTCTGGTCCTAGTCAAAATAATTAACTCAAACATCTACCAAGTGCCTATTTGAGACAATCATCATAGGCACAGCTCAAGGGGAGTTCTCTAACTCTGGTCAAGGCAGGTGGCTGGTGAACTCTGGCCCGTTCCTGCTCACCCCATCTAGTTGATTGTGGAGTGAAATAACTTTGGCAAGTACTGAACACCTACTGTGTGCTGGGCTCAATCTAGATCAGTAAGGCTCTGGGCAGGGGGATAACAGTAAGTGAAGCCTGGCACAGCCTGCGTGGGCTACACAGAGAAATCCAGTATGATTGCCTGGAGGGCAAGAGGCCTGTAGCACTAAGGACTCTGCCCCTGGCGCTAAGGGCTGCCATGGCCACACTTGTGTAATGGTCAGCCCCTCTCTTAGGCACAGGCAGGACTGTCCATGAACCCACCCCTCCATCCAAAGCCACAGGGCACAAGGAGGCTGGGGAATGCTTTATTTGGCTATGCAACAGGAGGGATGGAGTGGAGCTGGGGTCAGGGTACAGTGTGGGAACGGATGCTCCAACAGTTGGGTCTCAGACATCTCCAAGCCATAGAGAACTTGGCCAGGTCCTTCTATTCTGTTTCCCCTTTCTAGCTCTCAGAATCCAGGTCCATCCTGCCCCCCCCCCATCCTGACTGGGCTTCTATAGGTCTTCTTTGGACCCTTGTGCTCATTGGTACCCTCTGGCTTTCTGGGCTTTGCTAATGACAAGGACAGTCTGACCCCACCCTCCTATCTGGTACCAGGCTTGACTTTCAAGCCAAAGCAAGGAAGACAACCAAGACAAAAGCCACAGCTGACAACCAGGCTAAGCTCTGGTCAGAAGAGCCACCTTTTGTCCCAGATCTGCCCTCAAGGTCTACACCATCAAAAGCAGTCCCCAAACCTGCCAGATATCTTGCTTGTCCCTGCTCTAAGGGCACTCAAGGAGAACAAAGGTTGGGGGAAAAGACAGGTCTGGGCAAACATCTGAGCTTGGGGATCTCTCTCTGATAACCATGGAAACCTCTTGTATCCACCTAACCCACATTCCTTAGAGGAGTGACCTTGCTGTAGGGCCAGCCTCTGCAGAGAGGAGTGTGGCCCAGACACTGGAAGTTCTACACAGAGGAGGCATCTGGGGGGTAAAGACAAACAGATCTGGGAATGCCTGACTTCCACCTCCTCCTTCCCAAACCTGGCCCTTTCTGACAGCTGTTTACCAATTAGGGCTCCGAGGATAGGGGCTCAGGGGGCATCAGGGCAGCGGAGGCCCGATGACGATGCTGCTGTTGGTGACTCTCGGGCCGTACCAGCCGGCCCAGTAGTGAGTGTCCACGCCTCCGTGCTGAAACCAGATGTAGCGGACGCCGGGAGGATAGTTGGAGAACGTGTGCGAAACCTGGGGGTCAGACAGAAGAAGGGAGCAGTCAGGGAGTGCTATGTAAAACCTGTCTCAAAAACCAAAGCAGGGGACCACAGAGAGGTTTTTAAGAGCTCTGGATGCTCTTGCGGAGGACCAGGATATGGCTCTCAGCATCTACACTGCAGCTCACAACCATCTATACCTTCAGTTCCAAGAGATCTGTCGCCCTCTTCTGGCTTCCTAGGCACATAGGCAGAATACATATCCACATAGTACAAAGATAAATCTTGGAGAAAGAACAAGAACAAAACCCAAGCTGGGGGTGTAGATTCATTGACAGTGCTTATGCAGCATGCTCCGAGTCTGAGGTCCCATTCCCAGCACCACGACAGCACATGCCTCTGATTCCAGCACTGATCCCAGCACTCAGGAAGTGAAGGCTATGCATCGCCTTAGCGGCCCTCCTGGGATATTTGGAACCCAGTCAGAAAATGACAGAAGAGCTGAAGCTGTAGCTCAGTAAAGGTCTCACTCTGTAGAGTAAAACCCACAAAGACCTGTGTTCAGTCCTCAGCGCATCATAAGCCAGGTGGGGGCAAACTCCCGTAATCTTAGCACTTGGAGGTTAGAGGCAGGAGGAGCCCGAGCTCAAGGCCATCCTTTGCTGTGTAGCAAGGTGGAGACCAGCTTGGGCTACATGAGACCCTGTATCAGAGAAATCAAAACACAAATAAAAATGAAATTAGATAAAATAAAGAACCACTGGCTGGGCATTGGTGGCACACGCCTTTAATCCCAGCACTCAGGAGGCAGAGGCAGGCAGATCTCTGTGATTTGGAGACCAGCCTGGTCTACAGAGAGTGAGTTCCAGGACAGCCTCCAAAGCCACAGAGAAACCCTGTCTCAAAAAGCCAAAAAAAAAATTACTGAGCCCCAAAAGGGCTGGATTTTACTCAAGGCTCAACTGGCTGAGGACTTGTGTATATAAGGGCTTGGTTCACTGGTGGTGTTTTTGTTAATAAAATTTTACTTGTTGTCTAAAGCTGCCTTCCCACAGTGGCAGCAGGGCTGAGATACCGGTCCTTGTAACAGAATGTTTTGGTTATGTGTGTATGTGTATTTGGGCACGTGAGTGTAGTGCCCACAGAGGCCAGAAGGCACTCATTTCTATTTATTTATTTATTTATTTATTTATTTATAGATAGGATTTCTCTGTAGCCACCCTAGCTGTCCTGGAACTCGCTCTGTAGACCAGGCTGCCCTTGAACTCACAGGGATCCACCTGCCCCTGCCTCCCGAGTGCTGGGATTAAAGGCGTGTGCCACCACTGCCAGAGATGCAAGCTCTCTTAACCTCTGAGCCATTTCTCCAGCCCTCCTGTCTGGTTTAAGTAACTTTCAAGATGATATTTACTTACTATGAATGTGTGTGTGTGTGTGTGTGTGTGTGTGTGTGTGTGTGTGTGTGCACATGTATGCTACAGTGCGTGTGTGGCCGTCTGAAGATACCTTGTTGGAGTTGGCTCTCTCGACTACCTGGATCCCAGGGACTGAACTGAAGTCTTCCGGCTTGATAAGTCTTGAAGGTCTCCTCCTGGCTTGTTCTTGCTGGTGTATTTCTTTGTTTATTTAATATGTATCCCTGGTTGGCTTAGAACTTGCTATGTAGAACTCACAGAGATCGCCTGCTTCTGCCTTGCCACACCCCACCTTGCCCAGATGTTTTACTTTTGCTTCTTGTGTATGTATGTATGTATGTATGTATGTATGTATGTATGTTTGTATTTATGCATTTTTAACACCAGGTCTCTATGGCCTAGGCAGACCTGGGATGCACTACAAAACTCAAGCTCGAGTTTTCTTACAAAACTCAAGCTCGACTGTTCTTCCAGAGGTTCTGAATTCAATTCACGGCAACCACATGGTGGCTCACAACCACCTAGATTGAGATCAGGTGCCGTTTGCTGGCATGCAGAATAAAATAAATAAATAAATAAATAAATAAATAAATAAATATTAAAAAAAAAAACTCAAGCTGGCCAGGAATGATAGTGCACATCTTTAATCTCAGCCCTCGGGAGGCAGAGGCAGGTGGATCTCTGTGAGTTCAAGGCCAGCCTGGTCTACAGAGCGGGTTCCACAACAGCCAGGACTACACAGAGAAATGCTGTCTGAAAACAACAACACAAATCTCAAGACTGGCTTGGAATGGTACAGTGATGCCCCTGCCTCAGACTCCTAAGTTCTAGTATTACAGGCTTGAGTCACCACACCAGGATTTGTATCTAGCCTCAGTGGTAGAGCGCTTGCTTGCCTAGTGTGTATGAGGTCATAGGTTCTGTATCTAATCCCACCAAAAGAAAAGAAAGACAGCATTTGTGACCATGGCACAGATAACAGCCGCTTCTCAAATGATGGTGGGCAGGTGCAGGCTGACCCACCATAAGCTAAAATCCAGCTATATTTGACAAACTCATCGCCCATTAGAAAAAATATTCTAAGTAGAACACTGGTGAGTCCAGATGCTCCTAGATTTACTGTGGGGTCACAGTCCCATTGTAAAGTAAAATTTAAGTTGAGAGGGGAGGCTCTGGAGAGATGGCTCAGTGGTTAAGAGCACTGGCTACTCTGGCAGAGGATTGGGGTTCAATTCCCAGCAGCACCCACAACATGTGGACTCCCAAACTTCTGTAACTCTAGTTCCACGGGATCTGACACCCTTGTCTGGCCTCCTTGGGTGCCCCATGCATGGGGTCCACATACACACAGGCAAACCACCCATATACATAAAATACAAATAAATAAATAATAAAAATGCCTGGCGGTGGTGACCCATGCCTCTAATCTTAGCACTCGGGAGGCAGAAGCAGGTGGATCTCTGTGGGTTTGAGGCCAGCCTGATCCACAAGAGGTAGTTCCAGGACAGCCTCCAAAGTCTACAGAGAAGCCCTGACTCAAAACACCCCCCCCCAAAATCATAAAAATAAGTTGGGAACTCTTGTAGTGATGCAGTTATTAATCTAGCAGTCACACCTTTTGGATATTTTCTTTCTTTTAGGCAGCACATGTTGTTCTAGACATTGTTATATATGGCCTCCTGACCCTCCTGTATCCACTTCTCAAGTGTTAGGATTCCAAGCATGAGCCACCATACTTGGCTCTGAACGTTTTTATTTTTCTGTGATACTTGGGTCGAGCCAACACATGCTAGGCAGGCACTCCTCTGCTGTGTGTTATCCCTGACTCTCTTTTTTCACTGTTTCTAATTTTAAGGTAAGATATTCCTGAGTTGCCAGGCTAGTCTTGACCCACTGCTGCCTCAGTTTCTCAACCCTGAGCATTTCTGGTGGCACAGCCTTTATTTATTTTTTATTAGATATGATTTTACTTTATGTGTATGAATGTTTGCCAGTAAGTATGTATATGAACTATTTATGTCCCTGGTACTTGCAGAGAACTGAAGAGGGGATTGAATCCCTGGAACTGGAGTTATAGGTGGTTGTGAGCCACCATGTGGGTGCTGGGATTTGAACCTGGGTCCTCTGCAAGAGCAAACGTGATGGGAACTGCTGAGGGCGTGTCTTCAGGCCCAGTTATTTATTTAGTACTGAGGATGGGACACAGGGCCTCATGCATGTTAGGCAATCAGCCTACCACTGAGACATACTTCCTGAAAATTTTTTTGAGTTGGGGGTCTCCTAGTCTGCCATCCCTGATATCTAAGATAGAGACTTACTCTTATTTTTCTACTGAAGCAAGCGAAGCCGAGGCTTACAGCAGCAGAAACCCAGGTGAGAGGCTGCAGAATTTGGGTCTGAGTCCAGGTCCCTGCAGGGTCCCTGTCCACATACCTCCCTCCACTTGGCATCGCTCTTCTGCTGGATCGTCATGGGGTCTGGCTGGAAGGTTCCCAGCGGTGCGTGTGCCGATGACAGGAGCTGAACGCATAGCTGGTACTTGGACCCGCAGTCTGGTCTGGCTGCGAACCTGTGGGTAAGAAGGAAGGGTCCATGAGGACCTGGGAGATGGGGGGCAGGGCAGGGGTGGGGCGCCTGGGCGGCAGGCCCCCCCCAGACCCTCGCCCCATCACTCACCAGTCTTTGACCTCGATGTCCGGTCGGGTGGCGTCCATCAGCTCCTCCCAATACCCTTCAGCCTTGAGGTCCACCACCTGGGACTTGAGGCAGGTGCTGGGTGTGGGGGGGGGCTGGAGTTCAGCACTGTACCCTGATGTTAGGACTTGGGCTCCCCCCACCCTAAGGCCCTAGATCTTACTAATAGGAAGTCACGAAGTATTTCTTGACCTGGTCATTGGGGAATTCCTTCCGCTGGTCTTTGGAGAGGTCTTCCACCTTCCATTCATCACCTCCGTTCACATCCAGGCTCCAGAACTCAAATCCCTCTGTGGGGAGAGCAGAGTGTACCATGCAGGAGGCCCTCAGGGCACTTTCTCCATGTACCCCTCCCTCTCAGTGATGGGATGTCCCAGCTGCCCTCCAACTCTGTGTTTTCTCATTGTAGGTAGCACCCTAGGTGCGTCCTGTGTGCCCTGGGTGTGGGTAAGGGACTTCCGCTGAGAATCCTGGATGACAGACCCCAGCTGTGATGGACAGTGCTCTGGCACACACACTTGAATCTTACTCAGCTCTAGCAGTAATGGGCTATGTGGCCAGAGACACATTACCTTCCTTCTCTGAGTCTTGGTCCTCTCGTTAGCTAGAAACAAGCATAGAAGCTAACCTGTGGTGGCACATACCTGCCATCCTGGCAGGCCGAGGCAGGAGGATTGCTGTGAGTTCAAGGCCAGTCTAAGCCACATACTGAATACCAAGCCAGACAGGGCTACATGGCAAGACAGCAGGACCCTGTCTCAAAGAAGCAAGAACAAGGCCAGCAAATGCCTCGTCAGGTAAAGGCCCTTGCCACCAAGCTGGATGACTTCAAATGGCCATCCCAGGAGCCCACATGATGGAAGACCAAAACTGACTCTCACAAGCTGTCTTCTGACTTTCACATGTGCAGTAGCACGCACAGCTCTCTCACCCCACGTACCTAATACGTAGGTAAAAAAAAATGTCTAAAGGAAAAGTGTTGGAGTGCCATGATATCTTAGGTCTGGGGCCACATAGTTTTTTTTTATTTCTATTTTTATAATCCTTTAAAAACATAAAACCCAGCTGGGTGTGGTGGCTCATGCCTTTAATCCCAGCACTTGGCAGGCAGAGACAGGTGGATCTCTGTGAGTTCCAGGTCAGCTTGGTCTGCACAGGGAGTTCCAGGAGAGCCAGAGTTACCTGTGTTATAGTAAGAGAGAGAGAAAGAGAGAGAGAGAGAGAGAGAGAGAGAGAGACCCTGTGATGACCACCTCCCCAAACAAAACAAAACAAACCATAAAATTCGAATCAATAGATTAGCTAGGTTTGGGCTGTAGTCTGCCTAGCATTGGTTAAGAGGATGGCTATGGGAAGTCATGGGACACAGACAGGCAACTGGAGGGGCAGGGTAGCCTGGACTTACTCTTTTCTGTGTGTTTCCTGATGTTTGACCATGCAACAGAAAACAAGTTCCTTCCGTTGTAACTCATCCTGGGCCTGAGGGGTCCAGATGACTAGAAGCCTTGTGTCTGACCTGTTCTTAAACCACAGTGCAAAAGAGACTTCATCACCTTTTCTCCCATAGGTAAGACTCCTTCTGGGACAGTCCCTGTAGGCCTAACCAGGGGTCTGTGAGGACAGAAGACTGTGGCTTCAACTAGTGTCTGGCACAATCTGTTCCAATTGGCCACCATTTCTTTTCCTAGGAAAGGTTTTAGGAGAGGCTACCCTCAAACTCATGATGCTTCTGTTTGCCTTGCCTGTGCTGGGATTACAGTGTTGACACTGTTACCAACTGAGAAATAATCCGTTTGTTTTGAGACAGCTCTGTAGCCCAGACTGGTTTCCAACGGATGACCCTGAACTCCATATCTTCCTGTGTCTACTTCCCAAACGCTGGGATTACCGGTGAGTGCCATCCTACCCAGCTGAGAAATAATCTATAATAAACAGCACCCTTGGCTACAGTCTACCCATTTGAAAAAGGGTACATCAATAGTACCTATTTCTAGCTAGGTGGTGGTGGTGCACGCCTTTAATCCCAGCACTCAGGAGGCAGAGGCAGGTGGATCTCTTGGGAGTTCGAGGCCAGCCTGGTCTAGGACAGGCTCCAAAGCTATAGAGAAACCCTATCTTAAAAAGCCAAAAAAAAAAAAAATAGTACCTACTTCTAGGAATTATTGTGAGAGGAATAAAGGCCATAATGTAGCCAAAGGGCTCACAACCAGTGTTGAAGACATGTGTACTGGTCACCTTACAGAGCATGTCTCCTGGCAGATACTCTCCCGTACCCACCTTCCGCACATGGGTTGTGAAGGAGGTTCCTTCGGAGGCTTCGCAGGAAGTAGAAGATCTTCCAGTCAGCCACAGGCTGGTCCCAGTCCTCGGTGATGAAGCCTTCCCGAAGACACTTGCGCTTCCACAGAGTCACCAGGTCAATGAGGTCTCGCCAGAGACTGCAGACAGGTCTGCAGCGCAGCAGCAGCTGGCGGGCGGGGACGTGGGTGAACAGCTCCAGCAGAATGTTCTCGGGCAGCTCGTTGATATTGCCCACAGCCATGGCAGTGTGGTTCCTGGCCTGCTCCTGTGGGTATTGGAGAGCCGCGCTATACACCCAGCCTTCTCCCTGGCACCCAGGGATAGAGAGACTGCTAACTCAGCTGCCACCGACTGTCTCCAGAGTCACTGTCTGCGCTGACCTTCAGTTTTCTCTTCAGCAAGCAAACAGGGTACAAATGGTACTTCCCTCCAGGGTCACAGGCAGCGCAAGGTGTATGGGCTGGGGAATTTCTTAGTAAATGGTGAGCTCTGATTTCCTCCAAACCCGGCCCTTCAGACAGCCTCTAAGGCTGCCCAAGGACCTGCCCAAGGTCACACAAGCAGGAGAGGACGGGGAAGCAGCCCTGGCTCTTACAGAAGGTAGAGCCAGCCATTTTCAATAGGCCAGCAGCAGTCTTTTAGGAGGAAGGCAACAATGGAAGGCCTTGTGAGCTCTCTATTCTGCCCCTCTTCACCCTCTCCCATCCCCCAACGAGAAAAGGAGCAGAGACGATAAGCGGGGGTTATCACAGTCTCAGGACCGGTCACGGAGTACAAAAGGCTCAGTGACGTTCTCAAGATCTCAGAGAATATGACCCGCTTACCTGAGACTGGGAAAGGTGTGCGGGTGGACAGCAGCCTTCCCATCTCCCTCCCGCACCCCTGCGATTGGGCTCCAGCCAGAGGCTGCCCGCACCCGCCCAGGGCCCCTGCAGTCCCGCGTTTCCCATGAATGGCCCTAAAACGCGCTACCTGCTCAAGACGAGATTCAGACCTCTGAACACCGATGGCGTCCCCAGCCCAGGTCCTTGAGGCCTCACAGTGCAGTGGGGCAAGCACCTCTGCCCCCCAGGATCGCAGAGCGACCCTCAGCCCCGCCCCCGCTAGGTCCCTGCCCACTGCGTCT